TATTTTAATATTCTATTATGCATATTATTTTACAAACAAATCTAAATGAACATATAAAAAATATATATTTTTGCCGAGATTTGATGTTGTGTCACAATTTTGAGTCGTGATTCTTACGTCATCGCGCAATGACATCACAATGCCATTTAGCAACTTTTAGCAACAAATTTTTTAGCAACTTTGTTGAACATGTTGAACTTTAGCAACTTTCTCTGAAAATTAGTTGGCAACACTGCTCTCTATTCCTTAGTAAAAGTTTGTCTCAGCAGCTTTGTGAATAGGGTTTAAGAGAAAACTCTTAGCTAAAAACTTTTACTGCTATTTAGTGCTTTTAGTGGTAAGATCAAATGTTTTGTGAATACGGGCCCAGGAACAGAACTAACACAACTAAAAGTCCATGACCGTAACAACATGGCTTTTAAAATCTGAACAGATCTGAAAAAAATTTGGCATCATACATGACTAAGGATCACACATTACCAGACTTTCAAGTCGTTCTGAACACAACAAACTCACATAGACATATGCTCTTTATTGCTAGGAGACGCAGCTCAGAATATCAAACTTGTTTGATATCTTCTGACTGATGGAATCATAAAGAATCAAAACTCGGTGCCTATCATACACTACATGATTTTCTGTGAAATCTGTCAAATCTGACTGCCCAAAATCTGCAGACTATCTATGAGTTCTGGCAACAAGCTTTGACTCATCCAGATTGTAAATTGGGGCAAAATTGTGTAATGTATCCCTGCCTTTAAAGTGCCATTTTAATATCACCACATCACAAACAAAATCACATAAAAATGAGCAAATACAGAAGAGGTTTATTTTGGTTTTAGGTAGGAAACAACTGAATGAGATTATTAGGCAAATTTATGATATTTAACTGTAACATCTATTATGTAATTATATTCACATTTTGACAGCTTCTGTTGCACTAGAATAATTTCATATCAGGGTCTTATTTATTAGTTTTATTTATGACTATATTTTTATAATACATTAGCCATATTTAATTCACTCATCTCCATGCATGAGCAATTCTCAGGCAGCACTGTATTAATAGTGAGTGATATGGTTACAATCTTTTTTCAATCATGTTTACAGTATTTTTTAGATGTCAGTGGTGTAAAATATACATATAGCAAAATTATTTGCTGTTTCATGCAATTGTAAATATTAATTTGAAAATTGAAAATATTTATTTGACATTTAATCCTAATTCTGTATGGCTGATAATAGTTTTTAATAGTATAGATAATAGTAGATAATTAAATAAGTTTTTGGGCTGTTATAGAGGTGAAATGTATTATATACAAACCTAAAGATGCTTATGATGTTGCTCTCTTCTGGACCAACCTATCTTTTTTTTTTTAATAATGTTACCTGTTTTACTATAAAAATTATTTGGGTGGCCTGGTCTCAGGTTTAAACTCTAGTTCATTCTTGTGCCATCAAGTATGTGAATTGAACTCCCACACATAGCTCATTCTGAGAGCATTCTGAGAGCACGAATAACTGTGATCAGTTTGATAGCCTTTATCTGACAGTTTTAACTATTGTCAGTGGTTTTTGCATATAATGACATGCAATGGACAAGTCTTGAAACTGTGCAAAAACAATTTCTGAGGCTCTGCTTATGCATATGCAAAGAATAAAGCAGCCCTGAATGAACAAAACCTATATATCAAATTGTTTAACTACTTGGACCAGGTGATAATGTACTGTACTATACTAATACAATGCAACTACAGTAACGGAGGTGGTAATCAGAAGGTAACTGGCTCGATTACAACAGATATTGCGCCATTGAGCAAGGCACTTAACCCTGAAGTTGCTCTAGCCTAGATGATGGTCCCTAATGTGCAATTTAAGTTGCATTGGCTAAAATTGCCTGCTAAATTGCTGCAGCACAGGCAGCCATCTGGGGCAACATTTAGAAAATGACTACTTGCTTTCTTACTAAAAGCAGTAACATTCCATCTTGGGTGAAATGGGGGGAGTGATTTGCACAGGACATGGTGTGATACAATTGTAGGATTTACCACCTAATACCTATTACCTTTGAGTGAGAACTTAACTGATGTACTTTAGTACTTTTCTTAACTGATTAGTAATTGTTATGGCTCTATTTCAGTTTTAAAGGATCATCCTTTTTATCTCATGCATTTTTAAATATGTGAGGGCATTATGCATTGTGCATGACATCAGTTTACGTCAGTTTCTGTTCTGAATTTGTAAAAGATCTCACAAATTCCTTCCTAAAATCCAGAAATATCTGATATTTAATTACCTCAGCAACAGCACCAATTATGTGGTGCCATAGCAACACAAGCCATGATTTCAGTGTATTCATTGAGTCTTTGGGCTTTTGTTGAAGTATGAGAATAAGAACTAATCAGCTATTAACGTATTAAAATAAAGAAAACAAAACCGCAATTACCTTAACAGTCTTCATAATTTCAAAATCTATTGCATTTTTCAGAGCACAAATGAAATAATATTCATAAGTAATACACATTTTAAATAGCTTTGAGCAAAATGTTGTAGCACAAATGCTAATATCCAAATGGACATTTAACCAGATATCAAGGCTGGCTGAAATTTCAGGTGATTTACTGTGATGTTAAAAGACTCAAATGCAAGTTGAAGATGGTGGAGAAAGCCCTCATTCATACATACATATCAAAATATAAAGACTAAGATGGCATGATAAGTAAAACATTACAATTTGGTTAGATGAATTTAAACAACCACTGTGTGTCAAAAGAATATTATATACTGTATATACTAAATGTGATGGTTTTGTTTTTAAAAATGTAATAATTGTGACAGATGCTGCATGCTCTGGGAAAGGTTTGTAATAAAACAGCCTTCACGTAATCTCATGCTTTCATGTACTGACATCCATCAGTCAATCTAAAAATACACCAAAAGCAAATTTAATCAGAATGAGATTTGTCAAGCCTGTCTAGTTGTGTCATTGTGTCTAGAACAAGCCTGACATCTTGCTATTTGTCTGTCTAAACGAGCTAACACAGAGGTGACTTCTGTTGTATTGCATCATCCTTATAGGATACTGTTGCCTGATGGGTATTTTGCTTTGAACTACAACAAAAAGAG